CCACCGGTTCTGGGACTCAAACCACAGTCGACTATGTGGGAGTCTAGAGACATAGCCATTATGCCAACTGCTGGTCCTCATTTGCTCTTTCTTCATGGTGGTTGAGTTTATTCTGTGTGATAGCATTGACAGTCTTCCTGCGAGTTCTTGGAAAAGAATGCTTGAATTGCAAAGTAAGAAATAAACAGTGTATGATCTACTTGGAGTTGTTGTGTGTAGAAAGCAGAAACCAGTTCTGTGGAAGGCCACATATTGGATCTTGCCCGTGAACAACTGTTTGTCCATTTTGTTCCCTTACCCTAACATGGCTGTCTGCTTCTGTAAACCTGTTTGCCCTTCCCATGAGAAAATAGCTTGTGTTAGCCATACAGAAAACCGCATCCGGGACGATGTCTTCTACTTGCTACTGTCTTTGCTATCTAGCCTGAAACACTTTTGTTTAGCAATGTAACTGCTTGTATGGAAACACCACTCCCCGGACTCCCATGTAGTCGACCACAGTTTGAGTTCCGGACCCGATGGCTTAAACTCATGCCAGGCACGTGTGCGTGCATGCCCAAGATCCCGAGAGGCGAGTGGAGGAGAAGGGATTGCGGTGTGGCCATCTCCCTGGGGAGTGATTTCTCGCTTTCTGTCTCTCTCTCTCTCTCTTTCTGGTGAGCACACGTGCCCTATAGCAAAAACCTCTCCAAAAAAAAAAAAAAAAAAAAAAAGGCATGACTATTAAAGCAACTGTTGTCCCCCAATTTTTGAATGGAAGCAGCTTGTATAAGCTAGCCTCTGTTATATTAGTACAGATCACTTAGCTGATGCTGTGAACGTCCTGCCAGGTGCACTGAATTTCCCCTCAGTGAAATTCTGGAGATCTTTTACGGAAAGGAGACATCATGTCCTCTGATGTTTGTGTATACATGTTGTGTGTACTGACTAGCTTCTTGTTCTGTCTAGGTTTTCTATTTGCCAAGTGTTTATCTGTATAATGTTGATGGAGGTAGAAAATGTGCTTTTAAAAAATAAACAGTATTTGAAGATTTGCCAAGAGTAAAGACTATACACTTTGAAAAAAATAACTTAAAAATTATACTGAAGTGGTCAGGTATACCTGAGTGTTTATTTCTGTCTGTTCATATATTTTTAGGTACTTTGTTTTCTGGTATAAAAGGTACAGTCTATTTTGGAATGTAAATATGGTAAAAGTGTCATATCACATAATCTCTTTTCATGTAGACATTGTATTGATGCTAACCTTTAGAAATTTTGGTCATATTATATATTGCTTTAGGGAAATTTACATGACAATGAAAATGAGCATTTAAAATTTTTATGTATTGGTATTTATATAGGGCTGTGTTTTCAGAGAAAATGGGGTTTTTGAACAGAATGCTATTTTGCTGCAGAATTAATTTTTAAAAGACATCTGCTTACTAGAATAAGTTTTAAGAGATTTTCTTTTAATACTTTGGCATTATGGAAGTTCCTGCTTTATAGTGCTAATATAAATTTTTTGGCAGCATTATTACTACTTTTTAAAAAATATTTTCAAATTTCAAAACAACATGTTCATTTATTTTAAATAATAACAAATTTACATATATATGTCTCATATTTTAATAAAAGATATTTTGGTACAAAAACTGAAATCTGTGCATAGTTTTCTTTATTAATATTATGCATTTTCATTATCCTTTCGAAGAACTCTCATATGTTAATACAGATTTTACCAAGAGTAAATAGAATTCAAATTTTCATTGCCCTTTTTGCTGTTCATCACTGGCCAACAGTGCCACCATCAGAACAGACAGGCTTTTCTCACTGTGACTCTTGCTTTCCTCAAAAAAAAAAAAAAAAAAAAAAAAGGCATATATTTAGGAGTAGGAAAATAAAATTCAAGTGCTCCAAGAAACTGGCATTATCCTGGTAGAGGTTAAAAGTTATTATAGGGCCAGTCCTGTGGTCTGGTGGTTAAGGGAAGCAGATCTCCCTGGCATGGCTGACTGCATAGTTTGATTCCTAGACCTGGTGACTTGAGAAATATGCAAGCTGTCTGTGTATACATGTGCACCCAAATCCAGACAGGATGAAGAAATGGAGAAAGAACAGGACCACATTCCATGTAGGGGTGCTTTCTTCTCCTTCTCTTTGCCTCTAGTGAGCACATGCACCCTCTGGTAAATTTTTTTTAAGTTTGATAAAGTGCAGGGGGTGTGTTATAATTTGGGGGGGTACTGCTAATAGTAAAAGAAAATAAAACTTCCAGACTAACAATGTAAACATAAAAACTTTTAAATTATTCCTAAAGGATATATGAATAAAAGGGGGAAGGCAAGCGGCAGTGCAGCAGTCATGCAGTGGAACCCACATGAAAAGGTTCTGGGTTCGGTCCTGTGGTTCCCTGCATACATACGTCGTTAAGTTGTGCACATGCCTGGGATCTGGCCGGCTGAGGCTAGGGTGGGATCACAGTGATAAAACCTTACTGGGAGTGTCCATCTGTCTCTCTGTCTTTCAGAAGGACGAAATAAATAAAACTTTTATTTTGCTATAGGGCATGTGTGCTCACCAGAAAGACAGAGAGACAAGGCGAGAAATCACTCCCCGGGGGGATGGCCACACCGCAATTCCTTCTCCTCCATTCTCCTCCCGGGAACTTGGGCAGGCACGCACACGTGCCTGGCTTGAGTTTAAGCCCCAGGTCTGGGACTTGAACCATGGTTAACTACATGGGAGTTCTGCGACATAGCCATTATGCCAACTGTTGGTCTCATAAATAAACTTTAAAAAAAAGTATACACAAAGAAAAAAAAGAGCAGGTGGGAGAAAAAGCATATAGTAAAGATGGTAAATTTAAATCTAAATATCAGTCATTCTGTTTAAGTAAATGAAATAAGTCAAAAGACAGAATGGATGAAATAATCAAAACCAAAGCATAACGCTAACAGCAAATCATTTTAGAAGTCAAGTCTCAGTATAATAGAGACTAAAAAAAATGTGATGAAGGTAAATGTGAGTAGGCCTGAACTTTCCTCAAAAAAAAAAAAAAAAAAAAAAAGAAGTCCCTGTGCTTTAGCAGTGGATGCAAACCTTCATGTTTAAACAGAGACTTGTAGAAAAATATTAGAAGATGAAACTGCCTTTAATTGATGCTCTGACAAAATCACATTCCTAGTATTATTTATTCAAAGGCCTGTTACTAATGTAGATACTTAACTCTTGCCAGGTCACTCTAAGTGGCATTGTATCAATGTCAGTTGATTGTCACAGTCTTTAATTCGTTTTAAGATAAAGTCTCGACAGAGAATGTAAAAATGTGGAAAGAATCGGATCATCTTGGTCTGATGGCATCTTCCCTACTGTGTATTTTGAGGGATATTTTTAAATCAGTATTATGTCTTAAATATATATATTTATTTTTAAAATATGCGGTTTATATGAGTATACTGCCAAGTTAATTATAATTAAAATGCTTTCAGAATCTGTAGTAAAGCCTAACGGTTTTTCTTTTATGGTTTGATACGTACAGGATACAGTATATTTATTTCGAATGAAGAGACAGTCCCTGTCTTCCAGTCCGCATCACAGTCCTGTGTATGCTAATAAGCATCAGGGCGTGCATGTACACAGGCCTTATCTGAACTCTTTCGAAGTCTGAAAGAAAATTAGGTGTGAAGAACTGATTGTAACATTGTCCCCTAAGAATGAAAACTGATGTTGACACAATCAAAAGTATGGGTACAACTGATTTGCTTTCTAATTACGGGGTCATCTAATTGTTCTTAGGCTACAATGTTACTGATGTATTGGCTATTGAGCTGCTAGTAAGTTTACTTCTGTAGTGTGTGTTATAAAGATGGAGTCAATTAGCTTTTCCCTAAAGTTTTAGCCCTTGTTATTTTGAGTACATCTGAGACAAGAGGTATGATCTTTTGCTAAGTATGAAGCAGAAGTGTCAGCAAATTTCCTTGTACTGTCTTTCCTTTCAGTCTGCCCTCAGCTGGTCACAGTTGTAAAAATTCAGAGGAGGTTGATTTTTCTCAAGGATAGTTTCTTCATTTTCAGTAACAAAAATATCAAATCAGTTGGACTTCTCAAAATATCTTGTTTCCAGATGAAGTGTGTTAAAATACATATTTAAATTCTTAAAATTATCAGAAAATTGTATAAAGACCTGTTTAAATTCAGTATTGTGGTTATTTATAAATATTGCTAAATTGGAAACCAGTTGCATTTTTGGTTTTGAAAAACATGTTAAGGTATTGAATGTTTCTTATAGAGCTAAGAACTTTGTTTGTGAAGGAGCATATTATTAGTATAGCCTCCTAGCAAATGTAATGTAGAAAAATGAGCATAACTATGTACCCGTGGTTTGGGAGTGATTTTATTATTTACTCTCTCAGGACGGCCTATTCTCTCCTCATTGGCCTGTTGCTGCTCTCAGCCTTTTTTTGCCTATAAGATTTTCTTCCACAAAGTTTAGTTTCATTCATTTAAAGTAAAGTGTAAGTTTGACTTTGCAATAGAAATATTCATGGACATTTTTTTTAATCTATAATGCCCTTAGATTACTTAATTTTTAATAAATTGTGATACTTCAAATCACCAGGGTGGTTTAATATTTAAAAGGAATTCTGTAGTGAAACCTTCTGTCAGGAAAGGAATTGTCTTTTAAGGGACACAATTACTTTTAGGTTCCTAGACTGTTTTTATTCTGGCTTTTCTTTAAATGAAATTAGACATCTTTCTTTTAGGACAAGAAACTGATTTAGATGTTAATTTCTTGAAGTAGTTGGACATCATAAAGACGTAATGTTACCTGTCTTACTTTGGGTTTAATAGGAAGAAACGTAAGCTGTTTTGTCAGGTAAAATCTTAGAATCATCACATGCCTTTTAGTTGATAATAGGTAGATAAGAGTGTTTTCTCTTTTTTTTTAATATACATATGGATTTTTGTAGTCTTAAAAATTTTGGTTCTCATACTTCTCATTTTTAACTTTTAAAAAGCATTTTAAGAAGCAGAAGAGGCTAATTCCTGAAAGAACTGTTTGGAAGTACTTTGTCCAGCTCTGCAGCGCACTGGAGCACATGCATTCTCGGAGAGTCATGCACAGAGGTAAGAGAAGAGCGTTAGCGACTCCTGAGGTAGCCTGCATGGTCCAAGGTGTTAACTTGCAATAACTTTCCAGTCAGTGCATAGTACAGCAGGCTTTCTCAGGACATTTATTTCCAAATTACAGTTTCCTAGAGTGATGAACCTTTACCTACAGCTCTACTTGGTTTTAACTGAAAATGGAAATGATTTTCCTGCTTGGCTCCTCTGAGCATCTTACTGGTTAACAGAAGGAAAGTGATGTGGGAAAGCAGTAGACTGAAGACAGGGAAGAGTCGTGTGTTTTTACCAAACTATTTACTATGGCTAGTTCCATTTTTCGTCTTCAGCATTAGCTTTTAATGTATTCTTGATGATTAGTCAAATGGTTGGGCAGAGTGTATTAAGGTTTTTTCAGGAAGTAACTGATCCACTGATTGTGGGGGTGTGGACATTTTCAACATAATTTATTTTAAGTAATTAAGATTTTCAAAGCCTTCTGAGTAAATAACTATATGCATAATGGTATTAAGTCATGAATTTTTTAATGAAAACATACTAATAAAGTTATCTTTATTAAGACATATTATTTAAAATTAATATATAAAGGATACATTTGTACTTTGAATTTCACAAAAGGTTACTTGAAAATGGAAAGCAAAATGCATTTTAAATGGAAATTAATAATGATCTTTATAATGCTGCTTTGATAATTTAGAAGATTGAGAACTCCAAAGTACTAGAATGCATCAAAATTATCTAAAATAATTGGTTTGAGATTCAAATTTTTATGTTTGAAATAGGTTTTAATTTTACCATGAAAAATGATTTTTACTTCCTTTAAAATTCCTAAAGCAGCCTCATCTTTCACCCAGTGCCTTCATTTATTCGCAGATATAAAACCAGCTAATGTATTCATTACCGCCACCGGGGTGGTCAAACTTGGAGACCTTGGGCTTGGCCGATTTTTCAGTTCGAAAACCACAGCCGCACATTCTTTAGGTAAGAGAGTCACCATCATTTCATCCGATTGTGTGTGTGTGTGTGTGTGTGTGTGTGTGTGTGTGTGGTTTAAAAGACAAGGTAAGTGCCACTTATGCCAGCTCTTACATTCTCAACAAACTGGAATCTCCAGGTCCTGAGGAGGTACCTACAATTCCACCTGAGGAATTTTGTTTTCTTTCCCATGATGGTTGAATACTTCAGTTTACTTGTTAGGCAAGCACTGGTTTTAAAAAAAATGCTGGTAAACCTGATTTTAACCATTGCCACAGAGCATTCCTGTTGGTCCTATTGAGTAATACTGAAGTAATATGATGAATAAACCGTACCTTAGGAGTAGAGGTCATCTGACCAGTTAAAAACACTGTAGTGGTCTGTAAATATTATCTGTTGCAATAACTTAATAGTTATGATTACTGCAGATGGGAAAACCTAAAGATAACCTATGGCTAATGAGGAAAATGTTTCCAGAAGTTATAAAGTAGACAAAATAGCTGTAGTTTATTCATTCCAGAATTAATAAAGCCAGTGTCCTTTGTACTTAAAATAGAAATGAATGTAAGGACAATAACATTCTATTAAGAATGAAAACTAAGTTGTCTAGGTTCGAAGCAATAGAAATTAGTAGGAAGAAATAATTTTTTTAATTGAATAGCTTAAGGGAATGAAAAAGCTTCTCTGAAAACTCTTCCAATCATGTTTTCTCCATGTAAATACAAGACTTAGATAAAATGTTGGCAAGGAAAGAAGTTGGCTTTAATGTGACGATGGTCATCTTGAATGTCGTAATCTCGTTTGTCGTTGTTGTTAGAGAAAGACTTTTGGACTTGCCAGAGAGACAGAGAGACGGAAAATGAGAAATCACTCCTGAGGAGGAATGGCCATGCCACAATTCCTTTACTCCAGTCTCCTCTTGGGATTCTGGGCATGCACTCACATGTGCCTGACGTGAGTTGGAAGCCACCAGCCCGGGACTCGGAACTGTGGTCAGCCATGTGGGAGTCCAGTGATGTAACCACTACGCCACCTGCTGGTCCCTCACTGATTTTTTTTTTTGATAAAATTATTGTCTCTAAATGTGAAATAAAAAACTTCTCAATGATGTGCTGAGGAGTAAATGAGTTACATTTAATAACATAGTGAACTAGTGTCTGAATTAGTTGGCTATAGTTGGCAAGATGGTTTTAAGTCTCTCTGGTTTTGTTACTAAGGTTGTGTTTGGCCTTGAACCTGTCATTAATATTCTCTGTATCTAGGACTGTACCCGGCTCATATGTAGGCACACAGTCAGTTGTCATTGAGTTACAAATACTGTATTCTGGTTTAAAGAGAGCGAAAAGACAATGCTTTGCATTTTTCACAGGATTTCAATTTTTTGAGTATTTTAAGAAAATAAAATTTCACACTGGTGTAGGCTGGCATTGTTTTTGTTCCCCTTTCCCTTTGCATTTATTTATGTAGAACATTCAGCTTTTCTCTAAGAAAAGTCCTTATGAAATTCCATAGGAAACATGTATGTTTTCTCTCTTGCAAGTGCATGCGCCCTGTAACAAAAACCTCTCCCCCCAAAAAAATAAATAAAAAAAAAAGAAAAAGATAATATGTTTTCACTTTATGTTACTCATCTGCATGGAAATCTTAACAGCATGGTGTCACTGATTTACTTAGGAGTGCTAGGGTATAATGGCACACACACGCACACACAGACACAGCTCTCCATGTGTGTGCACACATGTGTTGCATGTTGAAATACTGCTTTGCAGGCTGTTACTCTGAGCATGCTGTAGTATCCAATGCTATGGACCCAGTTTATTATCTGAAACCCGTATCTTAACAGTTTGGAAATGGACCTCTTAAGCTTGTCTGACTCTCTTTTGCAAAAGCTCTGAACAGGATTTATGAACATATATGCATCTCCGAGTTTGGATAACGTACTTGTCTGAATATGTAATGGAATAAATAAATGATAGCAGATGAATAATTCATCAAGAATTTCCGATACCAAGTCTTACTAAAATTAACTTTTTGTGTACACACACACACACACACACACACACTACATGGTGATGTCCAGAATTGCTCTGTATTCTAAGACACTCCCAAAGTATAGGTAGTGAGGGGGGTAGATATGAGACTGCTTCTTCGATGGATGAATCAATAGAAAAATAATCTTTTTACAAGTATTTTTTTGTTTTCTGTTATTTTAAGAAAAATCTTTAAAATAAAATTTCTTTTATCCCCATGTGTACTCTTTGCAAAATGAAGATTTTGATTATTTGAGCCTGAAGTTTACTAAGCAAAATGCACTGAACACAGAATTATAGTCTAAACTCTAGCCTGCTAAGGCTCTCTGGGTCCAGTAAAAATTCTGTTTAGGAGGTTCAGGAAACTGTCTTTGCTATCAAAGAATACATTTAAACTAACCAGGATAGAAATTCTGCTACAGATTTGTTTTGTTGAAAAGTTGGCCTAATTTTTACTTTTAGGGAATTGTTACTCTCCTATGTTATTGTAATATATTTTTGTTGTCAAGATTGAATTTAAAGTTTGTTTCTAAGAGTTGGTACTGAAAAATAATTGAAAGTGTGACCACTTATATAAATGTATTTTGCTTATAGAAATGTGATGCATCTATAGGTTTTATGTTGATTCATTTTCTGATTTTACTGAGGATAAAATCTATTGGGTATACGCGGTGGCTTAAACGCATGCCAGGCGTGTGTGTGTGTGTATGCCCAAGATCCCAAGAGGAGAATGGAGGAGAAGGGATTGTGGCATGGGCATCCCCCTGGGGGGTGATTTCTTGCTTTCTGTCTCTCTGTCTCTCTGTCTTTCTGGTGAGTGCATGCGCGCTATAGCAAAAACCTCTAAAAAAACCCAAACAAACAAACAAAAACTATCCGGTATGATTTATCCATAGAGCAGGTGTGAATTTCAGTGAAATTAAATGATCTCAGTACGTAGTTCATAGGAAAAAGCCAAGTAAGTACTTAAGGAAATCTGTCTGGAGCCAAATTCCATTTGACTTTGTAAAGGAGATGTTTTCAGGAATTTAATTAAAAATTTTGAAGGCATATAGAATTTTACAAACATTTTGGGTTTTTTTTTTTTTTTTTTTTAGAAGTTTTTGCTATAGGGTGCATTCATTCACCC